GGGAGGCTGAGGCAGTAGGATCGCTTGAGCCCAGGAGTTTGAGGTTGCTGTGAGCTAGGCTGACGCCACGGCACTCTAGCCTGGGCAACACAGTGAGACTCTGTCTCAAAAAAAAAAATTCAATCTGCTCCCATCGTCATACCCACTTTTACCAGTTTTTGTGTGTCCTTCCAGAGGACACTATTGCTTAGAATGTTTATAGTCTTTTGTTCATAAAAATAATTCCATACATACTATTTGTTGTAAGTTAAAGGAAAACTACAACAGTATCCCTTAGATATCATTCCATCTTAATATATAGAGATGTCTATAAAGATCAATTTTAGAGAAAATTTATTTGAAGGTGATTATGAGACATCAAGTTAGAAATACCCTGTAAACAGTAGAAAATACTGCTCTGAAGATTTCAGTGTCATCTGCCTAGGGAGGATTGTTGACACCATTAGGGTGAATAAGATCCTCCAGGTAGGATGATGTGGGAAGAGAAGAAAGAACAAAAGGAGCACCATTCTTCAGGGGAAAGGTGAAAAAAGATGGATAACGATTGTCTTCTGTGACAGAAAAACAAGAGTGTTGTCTGGTGAGACCAAAAAAGAAACTTAAGATTCCGACCACAGAATCAAAGCAGATTAAAGAACATGTCAACTGGTATTTGGAGCTGTCAGTTCAATAAAATGTTTCAGATAAAATATTAATATCAGGTTACAATGAAATTCATATAGGAAAACAACAACAGATTGGATTGCATAAAAAAAATTCCTGTCTGATAAATGTCTATAAACAAAGTTCAAATACAAGCAACAGACAAGGGGAAAATGTTTATAACATTTAATAATCAAAGAATTAATATGCAAAAATACAAAGAGCTCCTGTGACTGGCTGTCACTGAGCATTTACTATATAGCAGGCATTATTCTTGGTGTTTTGCATGCATTATTTCTTACCATCTTCACATGACCCTATGAAACAGGCATTGAAACTAAAACTTTGGTAACTTTTCTGAGGCCACACACTTAGCAAGTGGCAGACCAGGATTTGAAACCTGCTAGGGACTTCACAGAGGGAAATTGTGAAGCAGAACAGACAAAAAATAAATAAGGAGAAGAGATCCATGAAGATCAAACCCAGAGAGGCTCAGAGCCCAGTGAAGGGGTTGGGGGGAATCCCGTTTCCCCTTCCTGCACACCTTCGGTAATCAGTGGGCTACTAATTTGTTTAGAAGCTTTTTCGCCCTTGCCAGTCCGGGCGCTGCTGCAACGGCTGAATTGTGTGGAGAACTGGTGTGATCCTGGAGCTTGGACATTCATGCAGGCTTCCCTCCAGAGGAGGGGGACTGGAGGAACCGGAGACCTGGCTCTCTTCCATCCAAACTCTTTCCTCCTCCCCCGCCCTTCCCCTGCCCATTGCAGCTGGAAGGGCAGATTGAGACTTTTGGGAGTAGCTGCCTCTCTTCAGCTGCAGCGTCCTCCAGTCTGGGGTTTCCACAGAGAGTGGGGCCCATACTTTCCCCCTTGGGGACTTGTGGTGGACCTAGGAGTGCCTGGTCAGGGAGTTCCCTGCCTGCTGGGACTCTCGGGAGGTGCACACCAGCAGGTCAGACCCTCAGGCCAGATCCTGTGCCCCCAGGACTTGAGTGGATTGTTAGGAGGCACAGGGAGAGATTTGAGAGCTTGACTTGGGAGGTGAGGGCGCCCACGTGGGCAGAACTGACGGGAGAATACAGTGGGGGTCTGAGCCACAGGAAGGTTGAGCTGCGCCATTGCTGTGGAGCGCAGTGCATTTGGGCACCCGTTTGCAAACAGACACTGAGGGAGCCTCTAGGGGCAGGGGTAATGAGAGAGGGGCAGAGCTCACTCCTAGAACCAGTCGGTGAGTTACAGATGGCTCATCCTCCACCAGCAGTCTTTCCAGTTTCGGGAGACTGATTTGGCCCTTCTCCCAGTGGCTTTTCTCAAGGGCCTGAGATACGACCTTCGAGCCCTGCTGAGACTTTACGGAGCCTTCCAGGCTTACTCAACTTAACCCTGCCCAGCCTCACTCCCCCACTCATCTCTGTTGTGGTAGAGAACAAGCCATCCCCTGGGAGCTACAGAGCCCCTCCCACTGCCTGGGGCATTCAGGTGCTTCTAAAGGGCTAAAGCCTATGACAGGCACAAAAGAACATCTCAACAGTTGGCTCTTTCCTGCAAATATCAACCACTGACACGAAGAACAATTGTACAGCTCATTACAGCATCTACTGACTCAATCAAACAGGGGTCTGGCCAATTCTTACAAGCACCACCCACCAACTCAGAGATTAAGCTGGGGGTCCCAGTATAATCCACACTGCTGGGAAGAGGGGAAGACAGCAGAACAGAAGCAACCTATGAGAGCACTGCTTTTTAGGAGAAGAATAAAAGTTACAGGCAGCTTGAGCTGTGAGGGGTCTCCTTCATCCACTGCAGACCTCTAGGCTGACCTGAGAGCTGGTCAGTTTCTGTGCAGAGACATTGCATCGGAGAGCAGGTGCAACAGAGATCTGGTGACTGTCAATCCTGGGTTTCTGCAACAGACGTCATCCTGATCACTCTGGTGCATAGAGGCAGGTCTGCTTGGGACCCAGCCGTCCAGCAGTTGCCTTTGCATCATCCCTGCTGGGCCGGTGAGGGAGCAGACAGAACAGAAGCTCCCCCATGGTGTGCCCTGTGATTGGGGTCTGAGCATGCCTCCCCCCACCTCCCCGTGTGGGACCTGAGCGGAGGAGGAGCCACAGATGCCACAGGCACCACCTGGGAATCCTTGGGCGACAGCCTCAGCATGTCCTAGGTGTACGGGAAGAACTTTGGCCAACCAGCAGCTCTGGGCTACCTATGAGGTCCGTGGACTGCTGAGACAAACCCCTGCCTGGGCAACTGGGCATCAGTAGTCTCCATGCTGGCAGAACAGCCCTTCGTATGTGCACCTGTGCTCCCGAACCCCCAGAGCCAGCTCTGAAACTTTTGCTGTGCCCAAGGCTCTGCCCCTGTAGCTCCAGGGCCCCCGCTGGGCCTGCGAAATGCTCCACAAGATTCCAGAGTTGAGCCTAGACCCCAAGACACTACCCCTGAGTCTCCACCATGGCCGCTAGGCTGGCAGAACTTCTCCAAGGTCCAATGCTTCACCTGGGACAC